CACTTAGTACAGGATATTTGAATGGATTCCGTAGCATAGGCTCAGTTTTATCTCTACTAATTCTCTTCATTGCCTTTTCAAATCCCAATTAAAAAGGACTGTTTCAGGTGTTTTTAAGGCCTGAAAACAAAGCTAAATGACCTCTATTACAATTTTAATTTTGGAGGTCAGAATGGGCAGAACAAATAAACAGTTGTCTCTTAGAGGGCAGAGTATAAGCCACTCCTAGTTTGGATATATGAGAAGGTAATATTGATCAGAGTATCATAGGGGTACATCTTCTGTGCCAACTGAAAGGAAACAAATTAAGTAAGAAACAAAATAATTTATCTCATTTATTCATAAGTATGGCCAATAGACAGAAATTCAAATTCAAAGGCACTTAAGGCAATCTCTGCTAATTAATGGTGGAGGACACAGCACATATGATACAAGAAATTTACTGAATTTACTTTTAAATGTATTCTTTTTTTTTCTCTCTTTCAATATTAAGGAGAGCATCTTCTAAATGGAGATAGAGTTCACATAACACAAAGTTCACCATTTTAAAGTATATAGTTCACTGGTTTTTAGTATATTCACAAGGTTATGCGACCGTCACCACTATCTCATTCCAGAAGGTTTTGCTGACTCTCAAAAGAAACCCTGTAGCCATTAGCAGCCCCTCCCCCGTCTCCCCATCCTCCCCACCCCCTGGCAACCACTAATCTACTTTATGTCTTTATAGATCTGCCCATTCTGGACATTTCATATGAATGCAATCATACTGTATGTAACCTTTTGTCTACAGCTTCTTTTACTTAGCATAAGAGTTACAAGGTTCTTTCGTGTTGTGGCATGTATCAGTCCTTCATTCCATTTTATGGCTGAATAATAAACAGTCCATGTATGCGCATGCCACATTTTGTTACTCTATTCATCACCTGATGTACCTTTGGGTTGCTTCCACTTTTGAGGTATTAAGAATAATGCCGTTAAAAAAAAAAGAAAAGAATAATGCCGTTGTGAACATTCACGTAGGAGGTTTTTTTGTTTTGTTTTGTTTTGTTTGGACATGTGTTTTCATTTATTGTGGGCATCTACCTAGGGGATGAAACTGCAGGGTCATATAATCTCCCTCTTTAACTTTTTGAAGAACTGACAGCCTGTTTCACAGGAGTGTCATCATTTCACATTCCCAGCAGCAACATATGAGGTGAGGGTTCTAATTTCTCCACATCCTCACCAACCTTTGGTATTGTCTTTCTTTTTCATTATAGCCATCCTACTACGTGTGAAGCAGTATCTCATTTTGGTTTTTGGTTTGCATTTCCCTAATGGTTAATGATGCTGAGCATACTTTCATTCGCTTATTATCTATTTGTTTATCTTCTTGCAGAAATTTCTATTCAAATCAGTTTCTTTGCTTTCTGTTGTTGAGTTGTAAGAGTTTGAAATGTGTTCATAAATGGTTAATTTCACTGAGAGAAGGCTACGCTGAATTAATGAAAACTTGTGAGTCCCTGAATATTGTTAATGGGATGCATCTACTAAATTTTCTATGGCTTCCGTACTGACATCTCCTCCCTACCAAATCTGATCTACGTCTTTGGGTCCCTCAAACTCTTAAAGGTATCATCATCTGTCTCTTTATGCAGGGTATTAAACCCACCCGTCTATGGCTTCTACTTTCTGACTTCACCTCATCTCATTACTGCTGTTGATTCAATCACTGTAACATGGATCACATCTATCTCATTCTTTGTCTTTTTATGGCGAGGGCACATGCAGGCCCTCATTGCCCTTTGCCTCGGCTATCTTCCCGCTCCCAGTCTCTCTCCCTCCAGACCTGCCGTGTGCTGATCTCAGGTTTCTGTTCTAAAGCACAACTTTCCTGCTCAAAAGCTTTCATAGTTTGGTCCCAGCCTACTTTTCCTATCTCTGTTTTTTCCTCTTACTCCCTAAACCATAGAAAAACTGATTTTTGAAGGGTTCTCCCATCCTATTAAATCATTAACTTGCTTGTTTGTCTCTGCCATAAATTATATGTTTTTAAAAAATGTAATAATGTAAAAAGAGGAATTACTCCAAGTAAAAATATTCAAAGAAATTAAAAGGCAGCTGTGCCATAAAAAAATGACAGTAGATATTAGAAAGAGTTTTTTTTTTAGTGTAATTTTTATTGCTAGCAATCTGTGGGCTAAAGGTTAGGTGCAGATAAAGATTAAATGTATAAAATTACCAACAGTATCAGGACCACTTGAAGGAATGAGGACATATACTTGCATTCTGTATTAAATATAGAAAAGTTCAGGTTTTAGACCTTTTAGTTCTCAGGGAATCTGGCTAAAAGCAGCAGCAGGTATTATCCTCTTACACTGGAGTCTTATGCTGCCAGCTTTTTATTTTGTAGTAAATATTTTATTAATACAAATTTTCATCCAATGAATGCAGAGAAAAATTTCTTTGCAACAAAAATTTTGTGTGTGTGGCCTAATCCTTAAGCCAAAGCCTAATTTTGTGGCCTAATCCTTAAACCAAAGCTAAAAGCATGGGGCCAGACTGACTCGTAGGATCTGAGAATTCCCTTACATACAGCACCCAATGCCGAGGGAGGATGTAAAAGAGAGGTTTTCCGACAATTTTGTCTTCAAAATATTTTAATAATCAAATATCAATATTGAATTCATTCGTTTTTTAAGGAAATGTGCTCAATTATTCCACAGCTTGATGATCGTGTAACCCAGATACACAGAACTGTATGTCTTATTCAACGGACGTAGGAAGGAACACACATACTTCTGCCCACACGATCCTGCGAGCATCACTTAGCCTCTCACAAAATTGGTGGACAAAGAAAACCTGTTCTAAAATTCAGGACAAATATAATTGCTGAAACTGAGAGAGAAGAAAAGTAGGTTAAAATAAAAAACGAGAGAGATGTTTTCTATTTTATAGATTTTTCTCTTGGGTGTAATTACGAAGTGACGTCCAAGTGCAACCAATGAAGTCCCTATTTTTTTCTCACAAAATTCAAAGACATCAGCAAAACCACCTATGTCAGTAATAAAAATAAAAAGTCTTTGACTTTTTAAATGTTTTCATACTGTCACAGTGGAATAAAATTAGCTTGAAAAATGATCTAAAGGCACATGATGCAGTTCATTATGTAGAACAGCAACAGCAGAGCTTCCCAGTGTTCATAAAGTCCGCTCCATTAAATTTACCTCCAGTCAATAATTAGGAATCCACAAATAAACCCGGGCAATTAAATCAATACTGCCAGGCAATTATATTTCAGAGTCCAGGCTCAGTGGCACAAAAAGGCACTACATCAAACTGCAGTATTAAGCGGTCTAATGCCATTTTCAATAGGATTTTTTTGCACTAACTAAACAGAATAAGCATACACCCTGATAATGCAGAATGTGTGTATGCACGTCTACACAGGTATGTCAAAAAAAAAATCAGGGCTGGTGTCAATATCGCTTTTGTGAAATTTAATAAAGATGTGCACGTGTGGACGTATTATTTTTATGGTCATAACTGATGACAGAAGTTCCAGATTCAAGGGTCATACTTACAAGTTGAACATTAAAAAAATTCATTCAGAAGTTTATTTTTAGCATTTCAAGCTTAAAAATATAACCCGTCACAGTCATTACTGAACTCCTTTGATGTGCCAGGCGCTGGGCTGGGTGTGGGGCGTGCAACATAATTAGGAAATGGCCTTTCTTCTCAAAAGCAGGTTGTCACCAAAGAAGACTCTGTCCAGGGCGTGCATGTCTACACTTGAACAACTTTAAGCCAAAGATTGCCAATCACTCTCTGTTATTAATTAACTGATGCCTGTTGATGTTTCAAAAATACATAAAACTGATGGTAAGAGTATCAGTATTTCACATACGATTTTACTTATCCTTGACTTTTCCAAAAGTATAAATACTGCTGTTTGTTAATATAAATGTAAAATAACTTCATTTAAGTCTGCTTTTAGTTTTAATCTTTACAAAGAAACATATGATGACTTTCCAAAACTTACGGGAGAGTCATAATTTTTTGGTTGTTTTGCTCTTTTGAAAACTACGTTTTAGCTCTTTTAATTCCCGGTTCATTTCTAAAAGAGACAATTACATTGAGCAAAAAGAACTGCAATGAAAAAGTTTCCGAATACATTACGTGCTGTCAGTGATGTCAAAACAAAAGCTGGCTATGACCAGAAAGGCAGGGCTCTCACCTGCCAATAAGCTGCCCTTGATCACTTACAAGAGGGGCACATCCCAGCAGACTCCATGTGTATTAAAAAAATACTTGAAAGGAAAGAAAAAGTATCACACAGGTCACAGCAGTAGTCTCAATGGACCCCTCAGGGATCTCAGCTCGTCTTGGCCTTGTCATCCTCTATGCAGCTTTCCACTCGGCCCAGAAAATGTCGATAGGAAAATGTTTGAGGGGCCTCTGGTGGACATTTTTTCATTCTTTCTGCATTGACAGGATGCCAAATCAATATTTACTTCCCACTAACAAGCTGCTCGAGGTCTCAGTAGAAAATATTGTAGAGAATGTGGGAAGACACAGTAATAAACAGCTGTCTGGCTGTGAGGAAAACATGAATTGACTGGAAACAGGTCCATAGTAAAAGGTCACCGAAACCCATGAACTCCTCAGGTGTCCATATCAACTACCAACTTTAAAGACATATAATAAAGAATCTCTTCTCCTAAGAGGGCTGAGAGAATGGATCCTTTTCAGGGTAGCAAGCATGGAGGCTGACTCAATACGTTAATTAATGCATTTGCTAAGACCTGTGTTGGCTCTTCCCAAGGCATTTGTTTCATTTGTTAAGTCCAAAAGTACAAATAGAGGGTTAACGTTCCTGTCTACCGATTGGAATACTTCTTTACCTACCAGAAGTAAATGATGTGGTAAGTGTTTACAAAAAGTTAGACATCGAGTAAAAGTGTAAGGCTTGGAATATTTTTTTTAGAAGTTTTTAGAGATGAAGGAGAAAAATGAAATACCTGTCCTTCAAGAAGTTTCTGAATGTACAACAGCCATTCTCGGTCATTCTCAGCATCTATCCTTGTCCTTTCTAGGTCCTAAAGGAAGAAAATCAAAAGACGGGTGTTAATTGCATTTACATGAACTTGATCATACTGTTAGATACCGAATAAATTTATTTATTTTTTTTTTTAAAGATTTTATTTATTTATTTGACAGAGACACAGCAAGAGAGGGAACACAAGCAGGGGGAGTGGGAGAGGGAGAAGCAGGTTTCCCGCGGAGCAGGGAGCCCGATGCGGGGCTTGATCCCAGGACCCTGGGATCATGACCTGAGCCGAAGGCAGACGCTTAACGACTGAACCCAGGCGCCCCAATACTGAATAAATTTAAAGAGATACTGATAGAATAGGGTTCAGTAAAGACCAGCGTGTCTTTCCAAAGTAGGGAATATGCAAATCTGTGTTCTTAATACTTAATTTATATATACTGACATATGGAAGATAAAGCTATATTTCTCTATTTCACAGTACAATTCAGGAATATTTTATTTCTGTCTTCACAGTGGAGCTCAAGGTAGGGACAGAGGTGGCAGTGAAAACAATGAAAATAAAGCGAAAAATAAGACAAAGCTGTATAAAAGAATCATTTACAAGTGACCCTTGTAAGGTAACATAAAACCTTATATTAATTAAAAAATCTGACTTTTCAACAGATAATTAAGGAGTAATTGTTACAACTGCAAGCAAAATAGGACATGGCATGGCTCCGGTGTTTTTAAATGCTTGCTTGTTGTAAATATCCAATAACTAACTGATAGGCAAGGGAAAGTTCTACTTCAAGTGTTGTAAACCCCTAAATATTCTCAACCCACCAATGATCAAGGTTAAAATAATTCTGAAAGTATAATCTATTTATATGTACAGTGGATTATTCGGTTAAAATCATGATTTAGCTTACGAAAAGATGGACTTTTCAAAAAGGGAAGGGTTTGGGAAACAAACGTTTGTTGAAATTTACTGGACGCCAGGTATCCGGTGAGGCACTTCGCATAGGTTATCATACTTTTTATATGAATTTACTAGAGTTCAATGTGGTTTAAAGAATATAAGTTGGCTGCTTTGGGCTCCGCTTGGACAAGTCCAGTCAACTCTCTAGACCTCTGAAAAGATGCAGGGATCTAACTAAGCTCTGATCTATAATTAAATCTAGTAAATATATCAAGGTGCATGGATCCTTCTCAGAACAGTGTGATTTCTACTGGAGTCCTTTTTCTTCCAGGAGGATGTCCACTGAAGGTTGTGTGGTATGCATTTCACAGTGCTGTACATTCTGGCTCTAGAATGTATCTGTCCAGAGGCTGGGGTGCCCTTACTTCACAGAAATGTGCCAGCTACTCTTTGGGACTATAAAGAGAGATCTTCTCATTCATACACCCAAAGGGGACAACTTTTTTCTATTCAGAGAGAGTGCTTTTTTCTCATCTGTAAGCCCAGAGAGGGCATCTTTTGAAACCACACAAAGTTGATGGGCCTGCCTTCCAGAATATATGTATCTGTGTTTGTGCACACACATGTGTACACAAACACACACGTACACACATGAGGGATTTGGGTAATCTACTTGTTTTAAAACTCTTAGGGAACAGTGGAGGACTCAACCCTAATTTTTTGTTAGGATTCTATCAATCAGCACATTTTAATTAAATGTCTGTAGGAAGGTATAGTCAACACCCTTACCAGAGATACTATCATTTCCTGTGTGTCTTATATTTGATACTATATTTGATAATGCTCTTGCACTTCAAAGTTCAGAATTCACAAAGTGAATTCAAAGTGTAGAAAGTCACAGGCATTGTAGCTTGGGTGCTGAAAATAGGAAACGGAGAGTTCACTATCCTATTCACCCAGGGGATGAAAATCATCTCTGCAGGATTCCTTTGACCTCTCTTCTAAGAATTCTTGGCAGTTTAAAAACCTTTGCAAATTGTAGATCTGTTCTACGCCAGACGTTTTTCTGTTTTATTTTCTCCAGAAGTTTTTTGAGCAGCTGATGGGGGGCTGGAGGATGTTCTCATACAAATATTTAAGTCCATCATTTTACTTATTCATCGAGCCAAATATTTACTGGGAAACTAGTAGCGCCATCATCTCTTTGATGTTTCCAACCAACCAAATCTAATATTCATGTATCAAAGTTCAGAGACTTAATAGGAGAACAGGATTGAGTATCACCCTCAGGTTTCACAGAAGACTGTCCACAGGATGAGATTCTGCTATCTAAGAGGTCATAAGTATGTGAAAAATGCAGTAGTCTCCCCAGGAGGTACAGAACTGTTACTGAAGACCCTTATCTATATGCACATAAATTCAGTCAGACAGGAGTACTTTACCCAACTTAAAGCCATAAGTATATTTTTTCCTTAACTTGATCAGCAATAATTTTGAATTTAGCTAGGAAAGCCAATAGATTTATTATTTTTGCTCATGTAAGAGGAAAAGTCCTCAAATCAATGATGACCCACCTTAACTAAATCCATTCAAATTGGCTTAATTAAAAATACTAGCCTACAAGATATATGATTAACTAAATTAAAGAAAATAGAAGAGGCAGGAAAGGACTTGAATAACTGACTTGAATAACAAACACACAGTTCTAAAGGTTTTAGGTACTGGCTTCTTTCTGTATTATACAGTGAAATTTTACTAAATGTTTTCTGAGTTGGTTAATAGCCCTGATGTAACTTTCACGGGTATATTACTAAGCTGACCTTCATTAATATTATCTTGAAGATGAAACTCTAAGAATTATAAAACAAATAAAAGTATATGTTGAAATTCAATGTGTTAAAAAAGCCCTTTATCGATAAATATTTAAATGATCTTACCACTTCATCTTCTGTATCCATTATTTCCTCTAGATCTGACCGTGAAATGTTCAGGATCGAAGCTGCCAAGGTCTGGGCTTTGTGGGTTGAGGTTTTGCGAGCATCCCTGTTTTTTCGCATTTTTCGAAACTCTCTAATTTGTTGCCTTACCTCATGGACATCACTTTGTAACTCTTTGACCAAAGCCTGCAACACATTGGAAAGAACATGGGCTCATATGGAAGTCATAAACGAAGACAAAGCAGTCACAGAATAAAAATGTGAAGATACCAGCAAATCATTAGGATTACTCTGATTTTATTTATTTTGGAACATAGTAGATTGCCCTTTACTTATTGTTTGTATGTAATAAAAACTCTCTTAAATGCACACTTAACAAACTTGCTGGATAACCAAACTCTCCAATCCCTCTTTCAGATTTACCAACTGATATCCTAGTTGGTGAATGCTTGAAGCAGGCAGACTACTTTTCATTATGCCAGAGCACAACCACTTCTGCCCACTGAGCTGATGCCAATCGTCATTTCTGTTTATTAAATGTGTGTATATTCATTGTAATAGGTTACTTACATGATTAATTCACTTATTACATAAACTGATGAAAAATGGCTGCAGAAAGATAGTTGTTTCTATTTTATTAAAACTGGATCACAAATGCTTTGCAAGGTCTTGATAAAGACAAGCTGGGCAAATGTGTAATTAAATTATGTGTGGGCAAGACAACAGTAAAGATCGAAAAAAAAAATTACAACCTAGGACTGCTTCACAAGAGTCTTTAAGTTCTCCCTTTGAGAGATGAATCAATGCTGGCCCATACCATGCCAACGCATGCATAAGAAAAGAACAGCCCTTACCCTGGGTGGACAGAGCTCTGGACCTCGATGCCTGGCTTTGTGATCTGAGAGCAGGTTAGCTAGATGTTTGGGTTATTTTTCGATCTTTTGCCAGCTCAAGCAAAGTTGCAATAAATAACAGTACTCATGTATACATTTTGCATCTCTAGAATATATCCCTAGAAGTGAAAGTGCTGGACCAAAGGATTTGTCTAAGTGTAATAATGAAAGCTGTTACCAATCTTCCCCCTCGCCAAGATAGTACCAAGATATACCTCCACAAAGAACATAGGAAAGTACTTGTTTCTCCACACCATTAGCAAAACACCAATCTAGGATTTCACTGTAGTTTGTTTTTTCAATGTATTTTTAAATTTCACTTCTCTTATAAAAAAAAGTTGAACATCAGGCTTAAGAGATAATTATATTTCTTTTGTTATTTTTTTCTATTTTTCTTAGTGATTTATAGGAGTTGTTTATATATTTGCATATTACATTTGTCTATTGTACATAACTAAATTTTTTTATACTTTGTATTTTCTTTCGACAGTAATTAGTGTTTCATGCCAAGGAAACAAATATTTCTTTTTTTTTAAGATTTTATTTATTATTTATTTGTCAGAGAGAGAGAGCACAAGCAGGGGGAGTGGGAGAGGGAGAAGCAGGCTCCCTGCTGAGCAAGGAGCCCGATGTAGGGCTCCATCCCAGGACCCCAGGATCATGACCTGAGCGGAAGGCAGACGCTTAACCGACTGAGCCACCCAGGCATCCTGGAAAAAGTATTTCTTATTTTTTATATACTCGATGATTCTTTTCTTTCCTTTCTCACTTTTGAATTTTGTGTGATACTTCAAAAAGCATTCTCCACAATGAGATATATATAAAAATGCATTTTCTAACCATGATTTTTTTCTGCTACTTTTAAGTTATTTTTCATTTAAAAATTTTTAACCCATTTGTCATCATTTAGAAATTGTTACATAAAATCATAGTCATCGCACAACCACTTATTAAAAAGTTCAACTTGGGGCACCTGGATGGCACAGTCAGTTAAGTGTCCAACTCTTGGTTTTGGCTCAGGTCATGACTTCAGGGTCGTGAGATCAAGCCCCACGTGGGGCTCTGGGCCCAGCACAGGGTCTGCTTAAGACTCTCTCTCCCTCTGCCCCTCCCCGCCCCACTCTCTTTGTCTCTCTAATAAAATATATCTTAAAAAAAAAAAAAAGTTCACCTTTCTCCCACCGATCTCCTGTGTTTAGGTCAGTGTCTGGACTTTCCATTCCATCCCATCTCTCTTTTTATTAGTGAAGCTTTGTAACATATTTAAACTAGTAAGGCTTTATAATAAATGTTAACATCTGGCAGGCCTAGTTCCCTCTTACTACCCTTCTTTTTCAGGTTTTTCTTGGTAATTTTTGCTTGTTTCATTTTCCATATGAACTTCCATGTGAACCTTGTCTAGTTTCCCTCCCCCTAAAAAACAAATCTCACCAGTAATTTATTTCAATCATGTTAAATTTCATTTGGGTCAGGGTAACCTTTTAGCATGTTGAGTCTTCCTAATTGAAGACCATGGTGTTCCCTTCCAGTTAAGTCTTATTTGTGTTTCTTAGGATCATTTTTAACTTTTCTCTTTCTAGCTTATTTCTCTTGCTAGCTTATTTACTTGGAGGGAAATTATTGTTGAATTACAGGTTCGATATTTGCTCTGCTCCATTATTTGTTTTCTTCCTTCAAGACTCCAATTATACATATGTTGAATCTCTTTCACTTGCTTCATAAATCCTTTTTCCCCTAATATGCTTTATTTTTTAATTGAGGCATAATTATGAATGAAATAGTGTGTACATTGTAAGGGTTTAGTTTAATGAGCTTTGATAGTTTATGCATGTATGCAGCCACCACCCTGTTCAGGATAGAGAGTCTTCATACTCCAGAAATTTCTCTGATGCCCCTTCCTAGGCAATTCCTCCCACACCCAAACAGCAATTGTTTACACACACACACACATTCATATAAGACCAGCAATATATATATTTCCTGAGATAATTTCTTGTCTTGTACTTCTTTAGTTTGCCTGCCACCTTGCTTCCATCTGCTCTTATGACTCATCATCTTTTTCCTAAATTCTTACATTTAATTTCACCTTAAACATGCTTTTTAGAGGAAAATATTTCATTAATATTTCAAATTCATACTAAAATTTTCATCTGCTCTGTAGCAACTTATCTGTGGTGAAACTTATTTTCCTGCCACTTACTTTTTCTGTTTTTTCTCCATTCCTATTCTTGTACATTTGCACAGATACTGTGTTGGTTCATTTCTCTGGACTCATTTTTGAAGGAGAAGATTTTTTCCTAGATCATCTATTTATAGAAAGTTACATGGCAGAAGGGCCTGTGGTATGTTCCAGGCTAGTGAAATTTTGCATATGACTTTAATTTTTTTTGATGAATTCCATTTGCCAGGTTATTTATTTTTTTTTATGGTTTGCTTGCTTTTTGTTTGTTTGTTTGTTTTACAATGTAAGGAATCTTTTTTCTTGGCTGCTATGAGAAAAGCTCCCTCCTTCAGATATTCCTTGTCTCTTTTATTCTTCACTAAGCCCTATCTCCTTATGGAAGCAAACCAGTTCTAGGATGGCTATCACAAACCATTGCAGACCTGTTACACTGCTGCAAATAGTGGATGTTGGATTTGTACCTCATGTGAACATCATTTTCTAAAAGGTCTTGATCTTTCAGAGGTCTGTAGGACCTAAGTCTTCTTTCCCTGGTTCCTTATTTTTGTGTCCTTTTGTATACTTTCACCAGTCTTACCTGTTTTTCACGGTTCTTCTATGTCTTTTGAAATACAGAGTTTTAGTTCTGACCTACACTGACTGTGAAAAGGAGTTGAATTTTTGTTTCTCATTCTTGCCTGCTGCTTGATTCCAAGGGACAGAGCAGGGGTAATGATTTTACCCCTCTATAATCAAGACAGAATTTTCCAAAATGCATTTCCCCTAATATTTCCTAATATTGCTGTACACATTTGTGCATATGTTTGTACACACATGTTTTCATTTCTCTTGGGCAAATACCTAGAGGTAGAACTGCAGAGTCATATGGTAGGTAAATGTTTCATTTATTAGAACTTTTAGAGCTTTCCACGAAATCTTGCACCACCAACAGTGGATGAAAATTCTCCATTCTCCACATTCATTCCAACATTGGTGGTTTACAAGTCTTCTCTTGAATTTATTTAAAGGATTTGTTTAATGCTATTGTAAGTTGAAAATTGTCTATTTCATTTTCTAATTGTTTACTGCTAATATATAAAAATACATTTGAGTTTTGTACTTTGACCTCATATCTCATGAAATGGTTAAACTCTCTTATTAATATTAGTAGCTGTTTTATAAATCTTTAGGATTATCTACATAAAGAATCATGTCTCATCAGAGAAATGTAAATCGAAACCACAAAGATTAGTTACTTATAAAGCTAGTATGAATGTTAAAAAACAAAAGTAGTAAAAATAGCTATGATAACAACAATTAGTTAAGGGATACAAAGATAAAAAGATGTAAAATGTGGCATCAAAAACAAAACATGGATTGAGAATAAAAATGTTGTGCTTTAGAATGGGATCAAACTTAAGTTGTTGTCAAAATAAAATAGACTGTTATAGACATAAGCTATTATATGTAAGACTCATGTAACCACAAGGAAAAAAGAGCTATAGGAAATACACAAAATATAAAAAGAAAAGAGTATAAGTAATCTTATATATGAATAAACTCATGAAACCACAAAGAAAGAAAGCAAGAGAGGAACTACAAAACCAGCTAGAAAACAATTAACAAAATAACAATAAGCACATACCTATCAATAATTACTTTAAATGTAAATGGACTAAATTCTCCAATCAAAAAACATAGTTTGACTGAATGAATAAAAAACCAACACTCATCTCTCTCCTCCCTACAAGAGATATGCTTTAGATGTAAGAACATACACAGACGTAAAGTGAAGGGATGGAAAAAGATATGCCCATGCAAATGGAAACCAAAAGAGAGCTGGAGTAGCTACACTTATATCAGATAAAACAGACTTTAAAACACACTGCAGTAAAAGATGAAGAAGTTTGTTACATAATGATAAAGGGTTAATCTAACAAGAGGACATAATTTGTAAACATTTATGCAGCCAACCTAGGAACATCTAAATATATAAAGCAAGTATTAATAGACCTAAAGGAAGAAAAAGACAGTAACACAATAAAAGTAGGGGATTTTCAATTAGCAATAATCGCGCCTCGGATAAACCTCATTGGCTACGATACTGCCACTGCGCAAAGCTAAAGTAGGGG